CCATGCTATATTGGGTGTATGATGAATCCACAGATGCTGCTGTCATCAAGCTCAAAGATGACTGTATCCGCCTATATGACAAGAGGGATTTGCTTCAATTCGGCAAGTGGGACATTCATCAACTCTCGATTCATCAGATCAAGGTGGCTGAAGATCTTTTTGAGCCTGCTGCAAAAGAATACACTTCGATGGAGGCTGAAATTATAGAGAAGGAAATGTGGAACGGAGCGATGGGAAAGTCCGATGTACTGGTGGTCGACAAGAGCTGAATCCAAGCTAACACCAAACCAAGGGGGAGATTGAAGGGTCCAGTAAATGGTTTGGTCTAGGCTTTCATTGTATTTTGTTCCGTAAGAGTCTGTAACACAATTATTGAGTTGTTTATATGTTTTAGATCAGTAAGTGTGTTTACGACCGTAAACAGAGTTTACGGCCGTAAACATGTTTACGACCGTAAACCCCGTTTACGGTCGTAAACCCCGTTGCGGTCCAATTCAGTATAACTAGTGGAGGTGTAGGTCTTTGTGTAGTTGTTGATGCCATTGCGTTTGCAGAGAGTCCCATCGAGTTGTACCTGACGTTTTTCTGAATATAAACGTGTGCAAGCTCGATTTCTTTTCATCTTATTCTTCTATTCATGATTGTTTGTTGCTTGACTACTGGTAAAGATCCTTATTAGGACCTTACAAGATGGGATCATCATTAGAAACAAAGCAAGACTTGTGGCCACGGATTTTGTCAACTGGAAGGATTATATTTGATGAAACATTTTCCCCCGTTGCTAGACATGAAGCAATTCATTTGTTTCTTGCTTTTTCTTCATTCAAGAACTTTAAAGTTTATCAAATGGATGTTAAGACTACCTTCTTACATGGGAATCTTCAAGAAGAAGTCTTCCTAGAACAACCTCCAGGGTTTGAAAATGAAGAATTTCCCAATCATGTATATCGTCTTGATAAAGTTGTATATGGTTTGAAGTAGGAATCCAGAGCATGGTCTGACATATTGGCGAGTTATCTTCTGGATAGTGGATACAAATGTGGAAAAATTGACAACACCTTGTTCATCAAGCATTCAGGATCTCACATCATTCTTGCTCAAGTGTATGTTAATGATATCATATTCGGGTCCACTGATGAGAAACTAAGTTATGAGTTTGCTGAGGTCATAGATACGAAATTTGAGTTGAGCATGATGGGTGAACTTACTTTCTTTTTAGGTTTGCAGGTTAAACAACTAACTTATGGAATTTTTGTTTGTCAAGCTCAATACATTGCAAACATGTTGAAGAAGTTTGGTTTTTCTGATAACAAACGAGATGTTGCTGATCCAACTGGCGATGATGTAAATGCAACCATGTACTGAGGAATGATTGGTTCACTACTATATCTTACTGCCAACCGTCCTAACATTATGTCTGCTACCATATTGTGTGCTCGTTATCAAGCCAATCCCAAGGAATCTCATATTCTCGTTGTAAAAAGGATCTTTCGTTACTTAAAGCATACACCCAATCGTGGATTATGGTATCCTCACGACTCTGAGTTCAAGCAGGTGGGATACACTGACTCAGATAAAAAGGACAAATTTATTGATTCAGAATTAGCTCAACGAACTTAACCTTTAGAGCAGACAAAACATGAATGAGGATTTTTGAACGCTTTGGAAACTTCGTTGGATTTTTTTAGACAAAAGTTTAAGTTTGTTGGGTTTTCTTGAACAAACAAAACATGATTGAGGTTTTTCGAACGGTTTGAAAACTTAAGTCATTTTCCCATATTTTTTTGTCAAAAGTTTAGCATGTTCAATTGTTGTTGATTTCTTCGACTTCAATCTAGATTTGCGTTTAAAACATATTTTTAAAAATTGTGTATTTACCAACTATCATCAAATTAATGACAATTCCAAGCCCTTCATCTCTAACATAACACTTTTCATGTTTCATGCGTAGTATTATGTAGGGGAAAACACAAAATCAAACCCTTAATTTTGTGAATTTTGTTTAAGTAGTTGATGTAAAGAAAAACACATAATGAGATAGAAGTATTGTCATCAATGTAATTTATTCTTATGTATAGAAAGAATCAGAAACAATATGTATCATGCAACCTTGTTGAATGTTAAAGTCGAGCAAGATGACTAATATCGTATGGAGATGCATCCGTAGGTAAGAGTGCAATGTATGACCTTGTTGCAACGAGCGTGTTTGCTACTTCTGTGGGATGAAAACCATCATAGAATATAGACAAAATCCGAACAGGGCATGGGACTGAGTTTGCAACACATTGTCCATCTTCCCTTACTTGACAACAAGGAACACTTGGCACCGGTACATCTGCAATATCGGGAACATTAATTTTATTAGAAACTAAATCATTTTAATTGAAGTTAATAAAAAACATATATAATGTTGCAATGAACATCAAACACTATAAATATGAAGAATTTATACAAGTTTCTTACCTCCTTGTGGGGCTGAAATGCTTTTCAGGTTGATGAAAGTGAACTTTGCATCAGAATAATCACTATTTAGCTTCTCAACAAGATGCATAAGCCTGTCATTGAATAACATAACTGCATCATTAATCCACTCAACACATGGTTTTCCATTAGTGCCAAACCTTGCTATCTCAGCTGGGGCGCACCCTACCTGACCCAGACCAAACACAGCAATCTTCCTAGCTCCCAAATTGTACAACGTCTATCATATGAATCAAACACATATAGTATGTAAAATATTCAATATCAAAAAAAGAAAACTAAATAAGAATACTGAAAACATTTCCACCATACTATATATACAATTATACAAGCAAGGAAAGATAAGAATGACCATGAAAACCAATTCTAGGAAAATTCACAAAACAGTATTCTCGTGTTACCTTTAGTTGTTGAGAGTATTGTTGCACAAGAACTGTTGCATACTGATCAACAGTATATGTGTTGCTTGTGGGGTAATTATTAGGTATCAAGTAATTGTTGATGTAATCATTGCTTCCTATATTTGATAAGTAAATGCATTTTTTAAGGTACTCAGCGGTAAATGTCTTGTTGCTTTGCAAGGCAGAAATGCGTGAAATTGTTGTGACGTGATTGAGTAATTGCCTATCCAAACTGATCCGATCACCCTGCAATGAAGTACAACAATCAAATAAAATTATATCTTTTAATATATATATGTCTCTATGCTTATACAATAGAAGTAACTATGAAATGCGATGAAGCTGAAAAAATATGTCATTTTGGCTTTAAGAAAAGAAAAAGAAGAGAAATTACTATTGGCTAACTTTCTCTGTATGAACACAAAGACATCGTAAGATCCCTTTGAGTATTCTTTCAGCGTAGATGTTCTAATATATGTAAAGTTGATAACGAAAAGTATATTTGCCAGTTGTCATTACCAGATGACTTCCAGATTCCTCTCGGATACCAGCACTACCACTAGCGTAGTTTACGCCTGTGGTGATCACTTTGTCTGTTATGGTAGCGTAAGGTGGTATGAAGTCAACAAAACCCAAAAGTTGACCTAAATAAAAAACAAGATTTGCCGACATCAATATTTGTATCCTTTTTACTTAATGTTGGAATGAATGATATAATTCACAAATATAAACTGTTTAAATTCATATAAATTTTAAGTATTGTAAACTATGGAAATTGTATATTATTAGATGCAAAAATAGAAAACGGATTTTTTTTTCTTGAATTCAAAGTCAAATAATCAAAAGTATTACTATAGCATTTTGCATTCATATATTCTAAATATAATATTATATTTTCAAATATTTAAGACATTGTATTTTTACTCTTTGTACTTTTACAAAATATGAAACCAGCCAAAATATAATGATCCAGTTCGTCCAACTTCATGCTGCTTTATATTTTGGTTTAAAAAGTTTTTAACTTACCACAAAGGGACATCAAATAGTCATAACCAATAATGTTTGGACAGAACAAAATTGAGCTAAAATACAAACATACACGTACCCACACAACCACACATACAAAAAAAAAGGAAAATAAAAAAACACATTGAATCAACCAAGGTTGTTATGATCAGGATTCTACGTAGTATCATTTATGGGTTTGTAAAATTGGGATTAGGATCCTAAGATGCATAAAATAAAACATAATTTTAACTTACAATTTAAAATAAGAAAAATATTTCAGACATTCTGTTTTCGTTCAAAAGTTCTAGAAACTACAAAACGTTAGTCACATCTCACAACATAAAATGTTTATAAAATGATAAAAAATAAAAGACATAAAGTGGTAATTAAATTTTTTCTTTTAAAAAAAAGAAAATTTAAGGGAAGGTAGGATTACATCGGACCCCAATTCTATTATTCTATCTACGATTTTACGATCCTACTTACGAACCTATCCCAAATACGATCCAAGTCATTTTTCATACACATGATCGTAAGATCGTAAAATCTTACAATCAAAATTGCGATTTTAACAACTTTGGAATCAACCACCAACCCACCTTGAGGTCATCAAATCTCATCTTAGACTAAAATTCCAGCTGGCGATTTGATATTAATAACAAGTAAATTCAATTTAAAATATAAAAAAAAAATGCAAATGAAAATGTTCGAATAGGTTAGAAATGAAAGGAATTTGTCTGAAAAAAATAGTTCTTACATTATATTAAATAGAAATTTTTTATAAAAACTAGAGGAATAAAACATCAGCATTATCTAATAATTTAATCTGAAAATGAGTAAATTGAAAATTTTTCCCAAGCAAATATTTTACTTTTTTAATTAACATCCTAAATTCTAAATTGTCAAACAAAATGGGATAATGAGAGGAAGATACCGATGATGTCTGCGACGGTTCGGCCGTTGGTGAATCTACCGGTACTGACGCCTTTTGGAAAATCAATTCCATAAGGCGGATAATTGGCTTTAGCTGTCGTTTTGAGACCGTTGTTATTGCCACTATCAAACAAAGAATCTCCAAATATGAAGTAACATGGCACTTGCGGTTCACCAGCAATTACACAAATTTGACCATGCAACAACCCTACCAATATGAGGACCGGCAAAAATAGGCTGAGCTCACCGGCCATGTTTGTTGGACTATAATGGAAGGGATTTGATCGATTTTGAATGCAGAAGGCGTACTACTTAAAGAAGGAGAGAATGAGAGTTGGCCATGTGGGAATTCGTTTTTTTTACACGTTGAGAGGTGTGCAAGTGGGAATACAATTATAAACTTAATCAAAATTTAATGTTTTTATTTGGATGTTATACCTTGCTTTTGGATATTACTTGTTAGTTTATTATGCCATGTGTCATTGTACCAATTATTGTGTTATTTATTAGCAAATGTTTGACTGAGATGAGTTTCAATCATAAAATCGTAATACCTCTTTTCACATAATATATGTTTTACTTAGGCATATCTCATATAAGTAAAAGTATTTGAAAAAAAAGAACTAATATTTAATAAAATATGTAAAATGACTAAATACTCCGTGTTAGCGTATATGTTTGTATATAATTTTCAAAAGGTTTTAAAAAGTTGGCTTCGTTATGGCTCCAAGGCTTATAGTTGTCGCCAAGTTTTAACAAAATGTCCTTTTAAATCATATCAATATATAAAAATGAATAATACTAGAAAATTTATATAAAATTATTAATTATATACAAAATTTTGGTCTTAAGTCACGCCTTACAAACGACATGACTCATCAAAGCTTGAAAAAACTTGAGGTTTGACATTGTCGTCACGTCACGTCTTACGTTATTTAGGACCTTGAATTTTCATTGTTAGCCCATTTAGTTGTATTGCTTATTGTCAGCCCATGTTTTATACATAGCCTAATACTCTTGTACATGTATTTATTTGGAATAATGGAATTGGTATCAGAGCACACAAGATACCCTAGCCGTATTCCCTTGTCGTTCCCACCTTCACCTTCACTACAGAATTCTTCATCTGTTCTCTCTTACATACTCTCGTTCATCTCCTTTTATTGATATCATGGTGACATCATATGTCGGAGCCTCTAGTCCGAAATCAAGTCCCAATGAGAACATTTATGGGATTACAGAAATCAAGTCCTATGTTCAACTTCTTCTTGACCTTCACCGTCTCAATTACGACTCTTGGAAGGAGCTTTTTCAGACTCATTACATCGGACACAAAGTTTTTTGGCCATCTCGATGGTTCCACATCAAACACCACTGAAGATCCTGAATCGTACACTATTGACAACATAGTCAAATAGTGGCTATAAGAAATTCTAACACAACCGGTTCTTCAATCCATCATTAAGCCTGACGCCACAACTACAGATGTATGGAAATATATAGAAGAGCTATTCCATGAAAATAAAGATACCAAGGCCATGGAGCTCGATGATGAATTACACAACATAGTTATTAGAGACTCTTCTATAATGGAATATTGCAACCTCATCAAGTCCATTGCCAATATTCTTGCAAATATTAGAGCATCGATCCTCGAGCGTAATCTTTTCATCTATGCCATCAACGGGTTGTCCCAAAAATATACTAATGTTGTCACCACAATCTGCCATAAAAAACCTTTGACCACGTTTGTTGAGATGAGATCCAAGCTTATACTCAAGTCAAGGCTCTATGCAAAAGGATCAAAGTCAATTGTTCCAAAACTCTCATCACGATCACTCTTCTTCTCCAACAATTTATGTTTTCAAACATCACAACCGGGCTCCAAATCCTTCACATGGGAATCACAGTAATGGTCAAAGTGGTGGTCGAGGTGGTGCTCGGATCTATCGTGGAGGTGGCAAAGGAGGTCGATTTTACATGGGTCATGGCTAAGCCAATTATGCTGCCTCGTCTTACTTTCAGTTCAGTAGGTGGGGAGGATTCATGCATTGGTTGTTGGTGATTTTGTATCATCAATGTGTATTTAAATGTAATGGATTCACTTGTTGACCAAAAATCAATCTTGATGAATATTAAACAAGTAAGGAAAATACATAGTGCACACTTGTTTAAGTTCATTCAAGATTCAAAGTAGACTGTCATTTAAGGGTGAAGCCCTTAAACGAACCGGGCTCCGGGGTAGCGCTCTTGGGAGCGGGGTCCAAGGGGCAGAGCCCCTGGCTGGGTTTTTTACTTCATTTTGACCCTTATTAATGATCCGGTTTTAGTGATAGTTTATGACTGTTATAAACTGGTTTTGACAGTTTGAGTAGTTTTTGGAGAAAGAAAACTACATTGACAATTTTCAAACAAATGAAGTACTTAATCATTTTGGTCATCATTTTTCATGTACAACAATAATCATGAAAATCATAACTTCATATTCTCTGTTCTTGAAACTCTTCAGAGTCTTATCCGATTAAATTTTGGGAGTACCACCCAAATACTTTAATCTGAAAGTGTACACACGATTCTCAATGAGGTCTTCTTCCAACGCTTACATCTCCCTCGTGGGTTCTCTCTGTTGGCCCAAGAACCCAGCAACAACAATGAACCGCTTTATCGACCCCATTTTCTCAGCCATGGGCATCTGCACCAACAACCCACCATCAGTCTCTATTTGCTTCTAGTCCATCTCTATATCAGCCCAATACATGGCCTATTGTTCAACAATTTGACTACTCGGATTAGGCCACTACTCACCCTTAGGCGTTTAGCACCGTGAGCCTTTAGGACCCAGGAACTGTAGACTGCTATATGGACACCGGGGCAACCGCATACCTCCACGCCGACTTAGGTATACTCAATTCCTATAGTAATAAGCTTATTAATTCTAGTTTCTTTGTTTTAGCTAGTTGGAAATGGATCTCGTATATTGATCACTAATATTGGTCACTCATATATTTCCTATAAACCTTTTCGTACCCTAGGTCTTAAAATGTCCTTATTACTCATCAAATTATTAAAAACCTCATATTTATCCATCAATTTACTCGTCATAATAAATGCTCAATCAAATTTGATGAATTTTGTTTTTCTATGAAGGACTTCAAAATCAAACAAATCCTTATCCAATGTGATAACTTGAGTGATCTTTATTCGGTTACAAGTCCTCCCCCTCATCCTTTAGTCTCTGCTAGTTTTACTCTGTAGCACCAAAGACCTAGCCGTCCTGGTCAACCTGTTTTTCAACATAGAATTTCTTGTAATAAAAGGGACTCTCCCTTATTGTGTTATGTGTGTCAGCTTGGAAAGCACGTACATTTACCCTTTGAGGTGTGTAAAACTAAGGCACTATTTCCGTTTCAGGTTATTCACTCTAATGTTTGGACTTTTCCTATTCAAAGTCATAGTGGAATAAATTATTATGTTATTTTCCTTGATCAGTTTACTCATTTTGTGTGGGTGTACCCTCTTAGAAATAAATCTTAAGTGTTCTCTAAATTTCTCCATTTTTGTTCATACATTGAAAATTAATTTCCCACCAAAATTCAAAATTTCCAATGTGACAATGGAAAAGAATATGACAACTCCAATTTCCATTCCCTTTGTGACACTCATGGCATTCATATGTGTTTCTCTTTTCCTTATACCTCTCAATAAAACGGGAAATCTGAATGCATGATTCGTACACTTAAAAACATCATTCATATTCTCTTGTTTCAAGCTCACCTTCCACCTACTTATTAGGTGTAAGCTCTCCACATGGCCACTCATCTCTTGAATATTCTTCCATCCACATATCTCAATAATGACACTCCCTACCACAAACTTTTCCACAAACATCTGTTCTATACTCATCTTTGTGTTTTTAGTTGTCTATGTTATCATCATCTTAACAACTCCAACAAACTTCAACACTGCTCTATTCCTTGCGTTTTTCTTGGATACCCTTTGACTCACAAGGACTTCCGATGTTTCAACCTTCACAATAAAGGAATTATCATTTCCCGCCACATCACTTTGTATGAAACTGTTTTCCCGTTTGGATGTATGATTCCAAACAACTCTCCCAACTATGATTTCCTAGAGATTGAGGACTCCACAAATCATTTTAATGAGCCAAACACTCCATCCCACCCTATTTCTCACATCCCCGGTCGAGGCGGCGGAACACGTCGGGCTGCGCGACTAAGTTCATGGATCATAGGTAAACTGAATATATAGCATAAGTGCAACAATAAAAGAATATAGCATTCGTGTTCCATCTTGATATTTCAATACAATGTTGTTACAAATAATAATAATAATAGATTAATTGCCTTAACAAATATGCATATAATACAACAGCAAGTAAACTAGTTCACCTATAATCCAATCCATCTTCAAAGTTTGTTAGGTAGTTTCCTGAGAATACATGTAGTTTTGAGGGTCAACACAAGGTTGGTGAGAGTTACAGGTTTTCTGCTAACAACAATAACACTTTTAAAAAGTCTAAAAACTATTATCTTTGTATGTGTAACAATAATAAAAATTGTGTTTGCAATGAGTCTTTAAAATCCAAAATGTAATTGTATAAGTAAATCCATACTTAAAACCATATTTTTAAAGAATCTTTGAAAGCCAAAGTGTATCTTTGAATAAGTAAATCCATACTTAAAATAGTTTTGAAAACAACTAATCATATTGTTTGTAATGAGAGAGAGATATTCAAGTTAATGTTTATAGTGACTCATATAACCGAGCTATGTGACTGAATGTACCCCCTACAACGCTTTATTTGACGTTGTAGTAACAATTGTAGACACTTACCACCCGCTTCGATTGATCTACTGAGGTTATAGCTGGCAACCACTGGTAGGGATGTAAACCCGATATAGATCTATACATATATATATATATATATATATATATATATATATATATATATATATATA